ATAGAAAATTCATAGGGTTAGATATCACAAAAAATCAGTTCAGTAGGTGGGCGGATTTTGCTATACGATTTTTGGGGCGGTTTTTTTGGGAGCTAGAAAAATCAGAAAACCGCATTTTTCAGTTGATCCTTTCGGCAAAAATTTGTTAAAATATTTTTTTTTTATTTTGGGAATCTCATCAGATGGCATTAGTACAAAAAGTTTCATTTTTGTGTAAATACCGGAAAATCGGTCATAGAAGGACCATTATCTTTTCACTTTGAGCCAATTCAACTCGGTTCGTATGAAAGATATCGAAAATTTGTAAACCAAAAGAATGTTGGTGATAATATGATAAACATTATATTAGTCGACTACTTTTCGATATATATATATATATATATATATATATATATATATTAGAGGAACCGAGATAATCAAGCTCAAGGGGAACGTATAGGGCGGGCTTTAATTAGAGCATTCACTGTAGGCATACAACTTTCTTTTCGGTCCTTTCTTTTTTTTAAATGCCCAATTTTTATTGGTTTTCCTATTATTTGAAAAAAAATGAGAAAAAAGTTCAAAGTTGAAAAAATGGAAACTTTTCGAATCAAAGAAAGTTATATATGGGAAAAGTTGGAAGAAAATTTCTCACGCCTACAACGGCAATCAAAACTCAGAAATCATTTTGGCATTTTAAAAAAATGTCGTCAAACTAGAATTCCGATGAAAAAAATCAGTCAAAAATCACTTAAAAATTTGGGCCTAGTAAAAAAGTATGTTTGATTAAAAAATGTTTCTGTGAGAGTGGAAGCTTTCTACTAGGCATATTTTTTCCAAATTTTTAAATTTTCTTTCAAAGTCAAAAATCTAGAACAGCTGCTCTTTTTTATCTGGGCAAAGGTTTTCTTTGTGTCTGTTTTACGATCACATTGGTCACATGGAGAGAATAATAAAAATGTTTCCTGGATTTTGAAAAATTTTTTCGAATTTTGAAATCAAAGATTTTAAAATAGCTGAAACTGACGCTGAAATTGGCACTCTTTTTGTTTTATACTCTCACGAAGAGTGGGAACAAGACGAAAAAATGACTGAAAATCTGTAGGTGGGATTAGAAATTATGGGAATTTATGAACCGTTCTTTAGAAGGCAAATCAAAAAATTAGAGAAAAGTTTTTTTTTTGCTTCCCCAATCCCTTTTTTCTAAAGAAGTCAACTTCATTTTTTGATTTATGAGTCCAGACACAAACATATTCTTCTCTTTTCCCTTTTCTTCATTCACCATAGAAACAAATAAAAGTGATGCCTTTCACATGGCTCGATGCCAATCAAAAACGAAAGGGCTCACGAAAAATAAGATTCGAAAATTTTCGAAAAATTATAATTGGCTTCCGAAGTCTAGAAGTTTTACTAAAATGATTTTAGTTAAAAGTATACCTACATTATAGTGAGACATCCGAAACGAAGTTTCTCTATAAGTTTGTCTTTAGGTGCCCCTTTAGAAGTTGAACTCTTGGATTTTTTTTTGATGTTATAGAAAAAAAAGAATTGCATCGACCGGGAATCGAACCCGGGCCGCCCGCGTGGCAGGCGAGCATTCTACCACTGAACCACCGATGCTTGTTTTGAACTGCTTCTTGATAGTAATGACAACAAACACACAATCGCTTGCCGCAAGTAACTTGCGTCACAGATTGATAACGACAATGCATTATGTACGTCTCGCTTATCATATTATCCATTGGTGTTTCAGTGGTATTGTCGGATTTAAAAAAATTGGCATCTGAGAATTTCAAAGGCGTCTAGTTTTGATCAAAAGCGCGGCAAAGTCGTAATATTTAAGATTTTTGGCTCGCTCGGACGATTTTCGCAAAAGGTTGGATTTTTTTGTGAAAAAACATATTCTAGAGATGCTAGCGATCATTTTTATAACAAGAAATTTAAGTTTTGTTCACTAAAAATATAAATTGACAAAAATCAGTTCCGTTTGATACGGTTCCGGTAACATTAGGTAACCTACCGGAACTGACAATGAGAAAGTTACCGTGTTCGAAACTTGCAAAAAATTTGAAAACCTCAAAACTAACCTGAACAAATCATCCAATCTGTACTCGCCGTTCACTGGTGCCATCACTGGATACCGCTTTCGTTTAGACATTTTCCAAGAAGCTGTACCTAAAATTTTTAATTTTGATTAACAAAAAAAGAACACTATTTCAGGAAAAGCATTTGCTGCAAAAATTTGGGAATTTTTTTTTTATCTCAAAAAAAATTTTCAAAAGTATTATGAGAGTTAAGCCAATAGTTTTCTGATTTCTTACTCAAAGGTGGGAGTAACAATCTGAAAATCGAATGCTCAATGCTCCTTTCCAGAAACACCCATTATGAAAAAAAATCTAATCTAATCGGAACTTTTTTCGGTTGAAAAAAAGGTCAAAAGGTGTAAATTGGTTTCACTATACACATTTTTAATCTCTACCGGAAAACGTTTTTTTGTTGAAAACAGAAAAAGTTCTTTCTTGTCATAATGGGTTTTTTGGTTGGATTACGGTAGGTTCAGAGCACAACTAGGAGTTTCAAAATGGTTAAAGTACCGTAAACACTTCTTCAACTTTGAGCCCATATATCTCGATTTCTGTAGAAGATATCAAAGTTTTATTAATTGATAAAAGGTTTTCATATTCCGATAAACATTTTATCCGTTGACAAATTTTAACAATCTTTAACAGGAACCCAGATATATATGCTCAAAGTTAGCGGTTTGGGTGCCCTTCTATTAGGGTGTTTACGGTGGTAGCTGAAGTTTCGGCAAAAAAATGGAAAAAAACAACAAATTTTGGACAAAAATGTTGCAAAAATGTCAAAAAAAAAATAAAGTCCCCAGATCTCAAATTCTAGAAGCTTTAGGTCACCCAAAATCAAAATCATGTCTATTCTTGTTCAAAAGGCATTGCTCTTACAACTTGAAAAGGGGCGGAGCTTCGTAGAATTGTAAGCTATCTGACAGAACCACTAATATCAGAATTCTGTAATACACCTATCCCGTTCTCTCATACCAAAAACAAAACAAAAAAGAAGAAGACGACAGAAAAGGGGAAGAGTGAGCCCTGTGTCGTTCCTCTTCTTGTCCCCTATGTTATGTATCTCTCTGTCTCTTCGAACCTCCTTCATTCCTCCGTCCGTCTCTCGTCAGTTTCTGTGAAAATGAGCACTGTCAGAAGATTTATCCCGACGTCGTCTTTTTCTTTTCTCCATCTCGCAGTTTCTGTATATTTTGTTCTTTCTATATCTGACGTCTCCTGTATATGTACAATAGTCGCTTAGGTGATGTTGTGACGAGAGGAGATGTGAAGAGCAGTGGAGAGGGTAAAGAAAGAAAGAAAAAAGAAGAAGAAAATATGAAAATGGAAAAGAGAGGAGGTGGAAGGGATATGATGATAAGAATGGGTAGAAACGTATAATCATGAAATATGAGGGTAGGGGTGAAGGTGGAAACGAAACAAAATGGGGAAAGGACCAAGGAAAATTATATTTTTGGGAACCTATAATTGTCAACTTCAACCAGATTTATCTCTGTTTCTGGGAAAAATATCAAGAAGGGATCAACTGATAACATGTTAATGAAATTAAGGTAAACATTGCAAATCGATGATAGGGCCAAAGTTGATAGACTACAATAGGGTAGCAGGAGGCATATTTTCAGACTTTTCCAGATAACAAAAGTAGTTTTCCAGATTTCATTCCAATAATTAGTCACTAGTTGTATTTTGTTGTCCCACATCCGATTTTTAAAAAAAAATTGATTGTTACCTTCAACAGTTCACAAGTTATGACCGAAAACATGAGTGGCAGTCTAATTATCACCTTTGAGTCGATCCTTCTCGTTTCCAGTGTGACATCAAAAGTGGTCACCCGGCCAAACATTATCAAAACATTAACTATATTTCATCCGTTAAACATTTTTAATAGTTTTTACAGTAACTAAGTTAAATTCGGTAGTTAGAAGTAGAAGCTTCAGTACCAGTCAGCAAGATATTAAAAAAAGAGTTTTCCGTTGATTTTCACCATTTTAGGAGTCTGGATCTCGGCTGTCAAGTTTACGATCACTTTCAAAATTGCGGAGGATGTAAAACATAGCCAGATTAAAAACTTTGCATTCACAGAACTTTTTGAAAACGCCTAGTTTCTCAGCTATTCGCCGATTTTTGAAAGACTCCCCTTTGTCACCTTTTGAGTCCAAAAAGGCGATTGTATGATCCTCCAGGAATATTAATCTTAAAAATTCAGAATCTTTTATTTTTCAGGTTTCAGTATCACTTTCTGTTCAAAGGGCCGGGCATTCCGAGTACCTCTGGGATAGGTGGAATAGCGGCCCTCGTTGTTTTTGGGTCACTGATCATATTTTTTTTTAAAACAGACTAAGTGTTCCACGGCAACCTATCATCGCCTGAGTCACAGAAAATTTAAAATATCCTTTCTCAGAGACTTTATTCTGAGATTCAAACTTTCAAATCTTCAGGAACTGTCTATTTCAGTTACCGTGTTTGTATTCTTTAATTCTGTATGCATTTGGAATTTCCAGAACTTCAAAATCAGATTTTTTTTTCAATTTCCCTCCCTCTTATTTTCCCTTCCATCACCATTTCAACCCATCATCTTATCCCCAGACAAACATCACTTAAAACTATTTTTTCCAAAGCGTACTAAACCGATTTTTGCTTCCTCTAATCACTCTCTTCATTTCCTATACTGTTTCTCTCCGCGGCGGTCAAATAGTAACCGAGAGAGTAGAAGCCGAGAGGAGGATGTCTCAGTGAGCAAAAATAATAGGAACGAAAAAAAGAAAGAAAAAGTAGCGAAATTTTTTGGGGTGAGTTGGTGAAGTTGAGTAGTCGGTCCGCGAAAATTTTCAAAGTTTGTTTTAGGAATTTAAAATTTAGGCTTTCTTTGTATTTTTGATTTCGAGGTTTTTTTTTGGGTGGGAACTGTGAGAATAGTTTCCACTTTTTCAGTTCTACCGATCAGACAGTGAGGCGTCTTGAATTATTTTTAGGTTTTCTGATTTTTCGAAAATTCTGAGATTCTGAGATTCCGAGATTCTGAAATTTCGAGATACTGAGATTCTGAGATTCTGAAATTCTGAGATTCTGAGATTCTGGATTTCTGAGATTCTGAAATTCTGAGATTCTGAGATTCTGAGATTCTGAGATTCTGAGATTCTGAGATTCTGAGATTCTGAGATTCTGAGATTCTGAGATTCTGAGATTCTGAGATTCTGAGATTCTGGATTTCTGAGATTCTGAGATTCTGAGATTCTGAGATTCTGAGATTCTGAGATTCTGAGATTCTGAGATTCTGAGATTCTGAGATTCTGAGATTCTGAGATTCTGAGATTCTGGATTTCTGAGATTCTGAGATTCTGAGATTCTGAGATTCTGAGATTCTGAGATTCTGAGATTCTGAGATTCTGAGATTCTGAGATTCTGAGATTCTGAGATTCTGAGATTCTGAGATTCTGAGATTCTGAGATTCTGAGATTCTGAGATTCTGAGATTCTGAGATTCTGAGATTCTGAGATTCTGAGATTCTGAGATTCTGAGATTCTGAGATTCTGAGATTCTGAGATTCTGAGATTCTGAGATTCTGAGATTCTGAGATTCTGAGATTCTGAGATTCTGAGATTCTGAGATTCTGAGATTCTGAGATTCTGAGATTCTGAGATTCTGAGATTCTGAGATTCTGAGATTCTGAGATTCTGAGATTCTGAGATT